TTTGAAGCAGTGTAATTCACAAAAATCACCACAGGAGGGCGCAACACATGTAAGTTCACTTCAAAAGTCAGATGATTGAAACGGGCCCTCTTGTGGTGATTTCTGTGAATTGCACCGCTGCAAAAAAAGTCAAACTAATTCTCTTCAGCTCCACAGAGCTCGTATCCACGTGTATATGAATGAAGTAACTCAGGCTGTGTAGAAGATGGTCACAGCATCTGTGGGATTTAAACACGCTTCTGTTGACGTTTAATGATTGAAAGTCTCAAATGTGACGTTGACGCTTGAATGCGAAGAGCAGCAGAATGACAGAAACTGAAGTGCGGGTTTTCATCCGCTCCACTAGGCGGCGCAAGCGGGTTTCGCCTTCAGTCGGACGCCTTCAGCTGCTGGACAACATGACGCTCTAGAGTCACAACAACAACACGTGCAGATCCTGCAGATGACAGCTGTTTATATCACTTTAACAACACACGCTTCAGCTCAACTGCAAATAAAATCGACACAAAATCCGACGAGACGCTGGAATCGAGTGTCACGCGACTCACCTGTAAGTAACTTTCCGCTTAAAGCGAATTTCTCTCGTTAAATGACTTGCAATGAATCGGTACTTGTTGCGTTACCTTTATAATCTCTGAACGAATCGCCCTGATAGTGACATTATAAAGTGCAGTAATGAGGAATCGCGCTGTTGATGCTGCAGCAGGTGTTTTGTGAAGCTCTGATGTTCTCTTCTTCTTCTTCTTCTTCTTCTTCTGGGATTTCATGGCGGTTGGCAAACCAACTTAAAAGGTGCATTTCTTGAAGGTTTAGGTCCATCCCCTAACAAAACCTGGAGGTCATTTATTTCTAAATATCTTAAAGCTTGACTTCGCTGGAAACCTTCTCTTTCATAAGCCTCACATTTCACATAAGAACATGTTCTACAGATTCTGTTAACCCACATTTGTCACAATTTCCATTTTCATGTTTTTCTATTCTATATAAGCACTGATTTAATAAACAATGACCAATACGCATTCTTGCTGTTAAAGCGTCTTCTTTCCTGTTTCTAAATCTTCTTCTCTCTGAACCAACTTTTTCTTGTATGCGGTGTAAATGTCTAACTTTTGTTCCTTCTTTCCATTCATTCTGCCATATTTCCTGCATTTCTTTCACTATTATCGCTTTTATTTCTGTTTTACTTAATGCCACTTCAATTTAATCTCTGATGTTCTCTTGCTGCTTCAGGCTTTTTCTTCTTCTGCTTCTGACTGCCATAATAAGAGCACAGCCATTAAAATACTATTTTATTTGTTTGAGAAGACATGTCTTAATATTAGCATGCAGCAATGAACTACATGTGATGTTTTTTTCTATTAATAAGTGTTTTCTATTCGTTTTTTTGCCTGTAAGACAATCGTTTAATTAAAAATGAAAATGAGACATACAGCAGATCGAATCAAAATGATTGATACAGCTTTGCTGAAGTATAATATGCAACATTAATATGTTTGACTGTTTACAATGTTAGACTAGATATTAAATATGTCTAATAATGTCTTTGTTTATATCGTGTCTCTCCAGAATAAGTGATGTCTTGTTGGCTGTAAACTGGTCCGGCTGAAGCAGAGCTCTGGGACGTGTGGACAGACATTGACTGTAATGATGGACATCTGCTCAGGGACAGGTAATGTATCTCATGTGTGAATGTGTGTTCTAGTGCACTAATCATGTAGGTTACCATCATTTTCTTTTTGAAGGGCCTCCTCTTTGAAAAGCAAATGATGGTAACCTAAGTAGGTGGGGAAGGGACGGGGGATGAGAATTTTTATGCAGCTTTATTTTTTTTTCAGTCTGTGCAAAAGTATAACCACTGCGGGTCACGGTGCTGGAAGCTCCAGGGGGAGACCGTACTGATATCCCCCTTCTTCAGGCACGCCTTCACACACACGCCAGCATTCACTCGTATCGCAGAGACCTGGCTGGGATCAAACCAGCAACCTCTGAACCGTGAGGCAGCGCTCTTACCTGTGAGCCACAGATCTCTTGTTGGAGCACCTGAAGGAACTTATATCTGACTGTTTACCTGTGATTTCCCAATAAAGATGTTGAAGCAAGCTCTGTGTGGGATTTAAACCCACGTCTCCATCACAGTCTCATCCTCCTCAAAGAACATGTGTTCATCCACTAACCCATCATGAATTCTTCATTGTGTTAGTGTTTGAACCAGGACTTTCATGTTTGAGATTAAAGCCTTCAACCACTGAGCCACAGAAACTGTGATGTTACGCTGGTGTTGTTGTCATTTAGATTTTAAGTTTATCTTAATCATGTAGGTTTACGCTGAGTAAAAGGCATTCAATTCATATGTGGGATTTGAACATGTCTCTGTTGCAGTTTCATGAGTTAAAGTGTCAGGTTTAGCCACTGCACCACTGTGCTTCAGATAAAACAGATGGTTTACTATCGTTTTATCTTGTTTGTAGTGTAAGTGTAGCGTAATCTCATTTTAAGTGAAGTTACTTTAAAACTTGCTAGATTTGACCCAGTACACCCAAAAGGTGAACAATAATCCACCGTACCACAGAGATTGTGTTGAATTCACTGTTGTTTTTGGTCTTTTACATTAGCATTTATTATGATGTTGCAGCAGTGTGATTCACTAAAATCAGCACAGCAGGTCTTAAGAGTCTACTCTGAACCGAGTCTTATGAACGCCCTCCTGTGGTATTTTTTGTGCATTGCTATTTTACATCATTGTTTGTGTGATTTTGTTCTGTCCTCTTCTACTAAAATAAACTGACATGCAAAAAAGCCAGAGGACCTAAAGCAGGCCCTCCTGTGGTGATTTTTGTGAATTACACCGCTGCAAATTGAGTCTAATGAACTTAAACAGGAATTTGTTCTGTTCTCTCTGTTCTTGTTAAAATACATAAACAAGATCAACAATTTCCCACGAATAGCAGAATTGTATAAACTGAAGTGCAGTTTTGCCTCCGAGCCACTAGACGGCGCAAGCGGGTTTCAGCTTCAGTCGGACTCCTTCGGCTGCTTGACAACATGACGCTCAGAGTCACAACAACAACACGTGCAGATCCTGCAGATGACAACTGTTAATGTCAGTTTAACAACATGTTTTTCAGCGAATCTGCAAATAATCCCTCGTATCGCAGAGACCTGGCTGGGATCAAACCAGCAACCTCTGAACCGTGAGGCAGCGCTCTTACCTGTGAGCCACAGATCTCTTGTTGGAGCACCTGAAGGAACTTATATCTGACTGTTTACCTGTGATTTCCCAATAAAGATGTTGAAGCAAGCTCTGTGTGGGATTTAAACCCACATCTCCATCACAGACTCATCCTCAGAGAACGTGTGTTCATCCACTAACCCATCATGGATTTCATGTTGTGGTTTGGTGTTTGAGTGACTTTGTTTGATGAGATCAGTTTAAAGTAAGCAATAGTGGGACTTGAACCAGGACTTTTATGTTTGAGAGTGAAGCCTTTAACCACTGAGCCACAGAGCTTGTTAGTTTGTATTTTTTTATTTTTAGGGTCGTTTAGATTTTAAGTTTAGGCTGAGTAAAAGATTTGATTGCTTCTGTGGGATTTGAGCACACGTCTTTGTTGAAGTTTCATGGTTCAAAGTCACATGTTTAGCCACAAGGCTTCAGCTAAAACAGGTGGTTTTCTACGTTTTTATCTTGTTTGAACCTCATTTTAAGTGACGCAAGTAAGTTTAAAACTTGCTAGATTTGATTCAGTACTTTCACACCCAAAGGTGAACAATCCTCTGTACCACAGAGATCATGTTTAAGGCACTGTGGTTTTCTGGTCTTTTACATTAGTATTTACTACTATCAGTTTACTTATTTATCATTTAAACCTCAAGATACTTTCAAATTTATGTGTTTACTACTTTATTCTTTATGAATTATTTATTTTTAGTTAAAATAATCTAATATGCAAGTAAGTTACTGCACTGTTTTGTGATGAACTTTGTGAGTTACACTAATCTAAATCAAGTCTAATATCTGGTATGCACTATTCTCCTCCAAGAGGGTAAGAGCAGAAAAACAAACCAATAATGCATTGCAATATAAACAGCCAATCAGAATCATTCACACATTTCATTGTTCTTGTTCCAGTTAAAACACACTTGCAAAAGAGAGAGAGAATAAAATAATTAAAAAGCCCTCCTGTGGCGTTTCTTCTGAATTACAGCACTACAATTCAAGTCTAATAAATGCACGATACCTCTGCAAGAGGGTGAAAACACAACGCATTTCAGTATGAACAACAAAGCTATTTACACTATGTTCTGTCCCCTCTTCTGTTAAAAATGATACATTTATTAACAAGAAAGTTAGAAGACCTAAAATGGTGATGTTTTTTAATGACACCACTGCAAATCGAGTCTAATGTCTTTAAACAGCCCTCGCGTGGTGATATTTGTGAATTAGCAAATCAATTTAAATATAAGTACTTTATTGTCATTACACACAAAACAAGATGTATTTATGTGTTAAGGATGGAATCAATTCTAATGAACTAAAACAGGCTGCCTCCTCCTGTGGTGTTTTTTGCGAATTACACCGCAGCAAATAGAAACGAACGAAATTAATCAGGTTTCAACATCCTGTGGTGATTTTTGTGAATTACACCGCTGCAAAAAGTTTTTCATTTAAAGTGCTTTATTGACATGCATGTTTACATACAATACTGTCAAAACATTATATGCAAAACAAGTAATGACAGGAAGATGGAATATACAATATAACAATAACAACAATTAAAAACTATCAAAAATAAGGTGCTAAGTAATGCATAAAAAATAAGATAAATGATACATAATTAATTCTAACGGACCTAAATGGGTTGCGCCCTCCTGTGGTGATTTTTGTGAATTACAGCGCTGCGAATTGAGACTAATTCTTACGCTGTTTTTATACGGCTGTCCATACTGAACCATTCACGCCCTCCTGTGGTGAATTGTGTGTATTACACCGATTCAACTAAATGACGGCTAAAATTCGAGCAAAGGGAAATTAAATTGAGCATTGATTCAAAAGAAATAAATGACTGAATAAAATAAAGGCAAATATTTTTTTTAATGACAAAAAATATTTACTCTTTGTATAATTATCTTGTAAATTGTTGCGTTCTGTGTCATGATTTGTTAAAATAAACAATATTAAAAATATTGATTAAATAAACGCAAGATAGAGGAACACAACCTGGCGCCCTCCTGTGGTGGACTTTGTGTATTACATTGATGCAACTGCATTCATTACTATCAGTTCAAATGTTATTTTTGTAATTTAAACCTTAAGACTTTGCACTTTCCTTTTTAAAAAATTGAAATATAAAACGTTATTATCTGGCTAAAAATATTTTGAATTGATTCATATTTAAAATATTGATTATTCTGTGCATCAAAACATTTGTATTATTAAAAATATCCCTGCAAACTGGTTCAAATAAAGACAAACGTGATTTATTATTTCTCCCGTGGTTAATTGTGTGTATTACACTTATGTGTCAATTAGACAGAGGAAACTCTTGTGTTAAATTATTTAGCACTGATTAAAAATTAAACTTGATTGAAAAATTATTACGTTTTTTTTTTTTTAAATGCATTGCATGGAGTCAGAGGAACGCAATACCCTCTTGTGGTGAATTACAACTTTTTCATTTTACAGGCTATGGAGCCTGAATCATTGTGCATCAATATTTGATTGGACTGCAAAAAAAACAAACAAACAAATTTTCTCAGATTTTAATTATTTATATTACAGGATGCCACTGACTGAATTAGACATATGTTGCTGTCATGTGTATTGGTATTGACAACAATACTGCTGTTTAAAACAAACTGTATCCCATTGTTGTTGTTTTTTTAAACTACATTTTTAGTATTTTCTTTTTTCTTTTTTTCACAATGCAGCATGCAATATCCTAGTATTATACTGTTCATATCTTGTTCACCTCGTTTATAGGAAAACAGTTGTTTCATTACCAGTGTTGGGGAAAGTTACTTTTAAAAGTAATGCATTACAATATTGCGTTACTCCATAAAAAAAGTAACTAATTACGTTACTTAGTTACTTTTTATGGAGAGTAATGCGTTACGTTACTTTTGCGTTACTTTTTAAATCTGGACAGGGCTCGTTTGTTTGTTTTTAAAATAAAAAAGTTCTATTTTTGGCAAATATAAAAGCCTTTTCACACCAGAAGTGAAATGAATAAGCCTCAGGCTGAAGGGAAAGTAAATTTCCGTCCGTACAGTAGAATGCAGAAGAAGAAATTTCAACACACTTAATAAAAAAAGACACAAATGTTTGTCTAAAGTAATTTTTGCGTATGGTTGAACTGGATCATCGAAGGTCAGAAGCAAAGA